AAGTCCTCTTAAGGCGGCCTTAAAATTTAAGCGTTCCATAGACATTCTTTACTTAGGATGACAACGGTGCAAACGGCCATTAGTCATATAAATTAAAGAAAATACAGATATGTATCAATGGTTATGAACTGTCAGTTTTAAAACTTATTGCCGATGTCAAAACAAGATGGATCTCGATGATATATTCGAAGTTACCCATTGAGAGAACATACATGAAAACGGTATTTACTAACTATAATAAGTGAATGCCTATTTTCCAAAACTGCTGCTACCATGACACACAATAGAAATGGGTTGTCACCTAAATATTTACAGCAACTGCTTTTTTTGGGAAACCTTCAGAAATAAGATTTTTTGTCTAGCTTATGGCAATAAATGAATTAAAATAAATTGCATGAATTTATTACAGTCATGCCTTTAAACGACTTTTTTACAGTTAAAATTCACGGTGATAGTAAATTTTGGTCTTGAAAAACTAATGTATACTAAAATAATGTGTGTCATTGTGAAACTCAAAATTGTGAGTAGGTACTGGTTTCGATACTTTCATAATACTGATATGAGCAGTATTGCAAGATGATTTTCTTACTACTCATTTGAGTAAGTATCGATACTTTCTCAGTATCGTATCATCCCTACTCCTACTAGATCACAACGACCAACAACAAACTCTCATCGTCGCAACTGATGCTTGCCAATTCGGGATTGGTGGCATTCTCCGTCAACGTTACCAGGATGGAATAAAGAAAACGCTGTATTTCACATGGCTGAAGCGTTCAATGCTGCTCGACGAAATAAAGTCAAATTGAAAAGGAACCGTTGGTTTTAGTCATCGCCATCCAACGTATCAGAAAATTTGTTTGGGCATGACACGTTATTCTCCATTGATTGTAACAAGGAAGTATTTGATATTGATTTCGCAAAAAAGAAATAAAATTAAAAACAACATATATTAAATTATGAACCACTGTGACAAAATCGGTTAATGTAATAATATTCATCAAAACATTTACATTGATTTCAAAATAAGGTGTTAAACAGATGGTACTAAAACATTTATGAACCAATGGTACACTTTTTTGATATAATGATGTCATGTGTAATGAAAAATGGTTTCATTTTTGGACATTACAACAAAATAATCCAAGATTAAATAAGTCATGCATTCTTCTTTATTTCAACTATCTTCTGTAAAATAATTCTTCCTACGTCATAGTAACGATTATTTTCATCCATGTCTAAAACAAATATAATTTATTCAATTAGATGGACAGCCTGTTAGTGATCGTACTACTGATATGTCTAATGGTGCGTCCAGACCAGACGAGCCAAGCCTGGTGCGCGCAAATTGCTTTGATGATGCCTCAAAACACCAACAAACGATCCATTTTCTGTCGGCGTTTTCACAAAACATTAAAGAAATTTGACGCGTATCAGGTTCGGCTCAGTAAGTCTGGACGCGGCAGAAGATGTTACGAGAAAAGTCGGGTTTTCGGTCAACGGTTTGCGGACGAAGACCAGTATTTTTTTTCGCCCAACGTCTCGGGTGTACTTTAGCCAATATCAGAGAACAATCCTGAAGGCAATAGTGAATTGTTGGACCTTATCCATTGATGGACTGGATAATATGGACACTAGCCAAAATTATTGACCGTGAGCGCATCATGACCGTACTGCCAGCTGAGCGCATATTGAGATTCAACCTTAAAGCTACTTCTATTTGCTTACACAGCTGGAGCGATGCCTAAAATACATTCGCTTTCAAAAGTCTTGCACCCCCTTAGTTATTTGGACACTTTAAAATTTTGTAAAACCTTGCAGACCCCGGTGTTAAATCTAGATTAAAAGCTTCTAAAAAACGGCAAAATTAATTTAATTTCAACGAATTATCAGTTATAAAAAGAAAATTATAGTCCGGACGCAAACATTTTAAAAATAAAAAATGCAGTATTTGAGCGTCTACTTCTTAAAAACGCATTCACACGTCTATCCATTCCAATAATCAAATTATTGATTACTTCCTGAGGGATATTTTCCTATTCCTCTGTAGCAGCAATAATAAGTTCTTGGGCATTTCTTGGAGGATTATTCCGATTGAAAATGGCTCTTGATACATAATCCCAGACGTGTTGGATGGGATTCATGTCAGGTAACATAGCCGGCCAATCGAATCTTGTGATGTTTCGGTTTTCTAATACTTCTTGAACAGCTCTGGTGCGATGTGGCCTAGCATTATCATCCATAAAGATGAACTGGTCCCCTAATACATCATCTAGGGGTATAATTCTATGAATAATAACATTTGCAAGGTAATATGCACCTGTCATCGACCCCGATATGTGAATAAGTGGGATCCTTCTATTTAACATGTGTTAACCCCGCCAAAACATTTGTGTTCCACCTCGATATGTAGCAACTGCAACGGCAGTATGAAGCCTACTTCGGCGTCCTGCTTCTCTCCAAACTCTTACTCGGTAATCATCGCTCAACAATCCAAATCGCGATTCCTCCACTCTGCCAATCGCCAGTTTTAATGATTTTGTGCCCATTGTAAACGGACCCTTCGGTGGCGATGAGATAACAAAGGAACTCTTAAAGGCATTCTGGACCGCAATCCTGATTGTAAAAGTATTCTGCGGATAGTAGCACTGGATATCACACGGTTATACGTTCTCTGGAACTGAGATTTTAATGCCGGTAAGGTGACTGAGTGCTCTCTACGGGCTGATTGGGAAATATAGCGATCTTCTCGTAGGGTGGTAACGTGACGACCACTTCGAGGTCTGCTGTTCACTTGACCAGTATCTTCATAGCGTCTAAGTGTCCGGCTAACTGTGCTTCTAAAAAAGTTCAGCCTAGTGGAAATATTGTGCCTAGATAAACCTGAAGAAATATGCCACAGAGCAATAATTCTAGTCTTGTTATGCGTTTCTAGGCATGCTATACGAGTTTTGCACGATTCAGATACTAACATACTAACTGCAATTTTTGGAGCATCACAATTTTAAAGGGGTAAACAATTTTTTGGGGAAATTCCACCAGTTCCTTTACTAGTAGACAAGTATGTTTTATTTACCAATAAAACAATTTTGTATAAATTAAACGTATGTAGTAAATACAAGGGGGGTGCAAGACTTTTGAAAGTGAGTGTATATTCAAAACGCTGAAGTGAGATTTTTAGCAAACTGTCGATTAAAAACTCTTTTATTCTAGTTACGTCTTAGACATTTCTCAATAAATAATCGAATAATATTTACACCATTACATAAGTAAATAAATAGTAATTTTGACCATCGGCAATAAGAACCGATAGGATTTATCACAAAGTTTAACCTAAGTTACAAGAACTACTGACCATTAATTGCAGCGTCAGTTTCTAGTTACTTTTTGTGTTCAGACTACGATATGCTTACCAATTTTTTTTTATTACGAAAATGTCTACATGAGTAATACTGAATGGTTTATTCGAAATACATTTTTGTTAATGTTGTACTTTCAATGCCCTACCATTATTATATAATCTTACCTTCATAATAGACTAGCTCACACATCGCATCCACTTTATTCATCTTCAAAATAGCTTTCAACGTCACATAGAACTGCAGTAAAATGTCATTTTTATGTTGCTTATAGAACTCTAAAAAAGTATATATTTTTTTGAACCAAGGTATAAGGCATAATATATCATCCGTGATGTACAATAGTTATAGGTATACAGTCCACGCCACTTGATTTTGCTCACCAAGAGATTTAAACTATTTTCTGTTAATAGCCAAAATTTTCATTAGCAAGCCATGTATTTTGGATATAATAAAGACAAGAATTTCGTCGGTATTATCCGAACAAGAAGTCAGAGAAGACTGTGAAAATTTCGATGTTCGCTAACCTCAAGGTACAGGCACCCCCAGGCCCGGTTTTTGAACAATTTTATTTCCCGACAAGGATTCCACCATCTTATTGATACTTAATCTACGGGTACCTTAAAAACTAACATTATTTTAATGTTGAACATCAATGAAGGTATCTGATCTTCCTTAACCTAATCCTAGCTTAACCCAATGCATCCTCTCTTGCTTCCTATACTAACTTATTTCTAGTCTATGGTCCTCGATGTGGTGCAGGAACTGGTAATCGCTTTTGGTCCACATCTTCTTCTTGAGTTGTGTCCACAGGGAGAGGTCTGCGGTCACCCCGGAAACTTTTGATGCAAAAAACCCTGACGATGGGACGTAAGGCCTGCGTCAGAAGCACGCATCAATCGCACAAGCGAACCCAGGCCTTTAGCCGGACCTTATCCAGGAACTTTGACGTTAAGTTCCTCATGTGGTCCAGCGGGTCTTCTTACCACTGGGGACCTGGCACAGACCCCTGCGGTACTCCTGACAACATGGTTCTGATCGTTGACATTTGACCATCGGCTGTGACTTGAAAGCTGCGCCCAGGTAGTAGCTACGGATTAATTGGATTTGGTACTCAGGAAACTCTGCCTTGATCATCTTGACAATTATGCCCTGATGCTACACCTTGGGAACCGTGGAACTACTTTGCCATATCCAGGAAGACAGATTGCGTCGGCGGTTTATCTGACGATTATTGTTGTTAGCTGGGCCGTGAGTGTTTGTGCAGTGTCCCGGCCTGAATCCATGTTGCTGATCCAGCAGCACTTGCTTGTCCTCCATTGTATCTTATAGGTGGTTCAGGATACACCTCTCCATGACCTTGTTCAGTGTAGGCAGTAGACTGATGGACTTGTAGGACGTGAGCAGCTTCCTGTTCTTACCTTTTTTGGGTACCAGTACTATTATTGCCTTCTTCCAGGTGGTCGGGAAATATTGAAGATCCAAGATTCCATTTGTAACTGTGGTAATGTCCTCAGTAGCTGTTTGCGGTAGCTTTTTGAGTACTTCGTTTGTGATTCCATCGTGCCCAGGAGTTCTTTTTCTCTTGGCCCCCTTGATGACTAGGCCCCCTATGGTGACTCTTCTGGGTTTGCTGGGCTGTCAGTTTTGGAGATTGACTATCCTCTCTTGTTCTGGGTTATCAACCAGGTTTTCCCTGCACTGGGGCGATAGGTGGGTGGAAAATAGCTCAGGGTGGGAACTATTCGCATCGGGTGATTCAAGTGCAGGTTTTGGAGTCGCGAATTTCAGGCTGAAGCCTGCTGATGAGAACTAATAGGCTCGGAACCGGTCCTGGAGGTACCTGAGGTTTGCGAACTTCGAAATTTGCACTGTCTTGTATTGGATACAATGTTTTAATAGTATTCGTCCAACAAATGGTTTAATTGACTCGCACTTCACAATGGAGAATTTTCTTAGAAGCATTATTATAATTGCGATAGTGCGACACTTGAATACTCTCATTGACTGTTGGAATCGTAGGTGGTTACGTAGAAGAAACAAAACCATGTCACTTGACATGACAGTTGTCTAGAAGTAATTTGAGCATATTTGAGTGTTTTAAAAGTGAAAAACGAGAAATTGCAAGAAAACTACGGAAATAACCGACAAGGACATACTTCAACGGCAACAACACTAAAGGAACGTCGTATCATTCTTCCTCAACAGCTGGACAAATACGGGATCGAAGTGGAAGTGATGCTTCCGTACGCACTATCCAAAGGGTAATAAATAAATGTTCAAACTTGTCCAAAGGTTAATAAAGAAATATCTAAAACAAAAAGAAGACTACGTAATAAGTCTTTGCTTCTAGCACGTCAACGACAAGAAGGTTTAGCGTTTTCACGCATTCACCGTAACTGGTCAGAGAAATGGAAAAATGTCATATACAAAAGTGTTAAACAAAATATTAAATAAATATTCTTAAAATTTTTAGTATTAATAAAAATTAGTCAAAACCATTAAGCGAGAGTCGCCATCAACTGTCGTGCACTGTATATTTTCTCTACTGCAAAACTGAGGGTGTGGGTAAAATGTTTGGGGTACTCGGTCAATAGGGAACTTGCACAAAAATTAAATTAAAAAAATATTACTCGCAAACGTAACTTAATACTATTAAAAACACCACAGTTGACCAAAAAACTATTTTTTAATTTCTATGTAATTAATATAAGCAATTGAAAACTGTATAATTCAAATCATTCTTGAAACGCGCCGTCATCGGCTGGGACCAGTTGTGACGTCAAGCGGTTCGTCGGCCGCGGTGGCTTCAATGCGGAGCATGTAAATATGCAACCTCAGTCTTGATATTGTTGTTAAAACGTTTATACAGGGTGATTCAAAATTGGCGTCATTTCTTTTAAGAGGCTCCCTTGAGGAGTACCAGACAAATATTGAAAATTTTTTTTCCGAAAATTTCTAGATGTTAACAGTTGAAGATCGAATTTCAACTTTGTTATTAAGCATTATTTTGAAAAAATCCCACGTTGGATTGGCAGCCTATTGGAATACTTAAGCATTC